GTCGACACACACACACACACACACACACACACACACACACACACACACACACACACACACACACACACACACACACACACACACACACACACACACAAGCAAGTAAATTGCTATATTTAGGCGAAACCGATTCGATCGATCCAATATCGTTGCGACACTAATTTCGTTATATGCCATTTAGTTTAATTATTCTGCACAGCGTAATAACAGCATTTACAACAAAGCTACGACATTACCGGTCTTATCTATCGCAAGATGCATTCAGGAATTAATTTGAACTTTAATTAACCGCATAATACTGCTTTTGACGTTTGAAATAGCTCGGATTGGAATTCCAAGAAGCTTTCCTCCTCGTGCACGTGTGTGCGTGAGAATGATACGAAAATCGATTTACGCTCAGCGATGAGAAGTAATAAAATCATTCTTACGTTACAAAGTAATGCGAATGACGCGCGACACTCCATGTTTCCATGTGGAGGGATAATGCATAATCGGCGAAACGAATCTTAATATGACCCAGTTCCGACTAACCTGACCTCGATAATACGGCCGGATAACAGAAAACCGCTACATGCATGTGTGAATCGTGTAATAATTTTTTTTGTCTCGTAGTTCTCGTTTACAAGATCAACGACAGAACCAAATATCTTTACATGTGTTACAGCGATGAAAATCATGCGCGGAAAAAGCTAGCCGGATAAGATAAAAACCGAGCGAGAAAATCGTCAACGAAACAACTGCCGAATAAAATTCGCGTATTAACTGCGTCATTGTTCGCTTATTTTATGCGATTGTCGGATATTTTTCGCGGGATTTAATTCTTTTGTAAACCAACTGATGCGCGACTGATGCTACGTTGGCTACGTTAAATTCAACAAAAGTATATACATATAATTCACCGCGTCCGCGTCAATGAATTAATAAAATAACAAATTCGCGCGAGGTGAGAAAAACGGTTGGAAAAAGTAAATCAATGACAGGCGTGCAATATCCAATGGGAGAATTGACTTTAAACCGATCCAAAAATAAATTCAACCGCTGATCATCGTGATTTAATTTACACAGCATGCACGAATAACTCAAATGCCGCGCATCGATTGCACTCCACAGATATATCTGTAAATATTACATCTGCGAGTATTAAATAATAAATCATGTCATCTTGTCTTTCTTTTTCGAATATTATATCGCGTTACTTGAACTCGCTTTTTAATAAACTTTATCGCTTTATCGCTTTACCACGACCACCGTGCGCGCGTATCGTAAAATGGCTATATCGACTAGAAGAGACTCGCCAGAGCGAGCTCGGGAACTCGAATACTAACTATTGCTTTCACTGTCGCGATAACACGTCGGCGACCAACGCGGCTTGCCAGAGGTTTATATAACGCGGCTTCGCTATCGTCGGTCTCAGTCGCCGCACGTCGAGATAGGGGGTTACGTCGGCGTTTCGCCCGCCGCTCGAAGAAGAGACATCGGCCACGAAATGGCATCGAAAAACACCATGGACTCGGATTGCATGACGCTGACGAGATTCGTGCTGGCGGAGCAGCGCAAGGTGCCAACGGCGACCGGTGATCTCACGCAGCTGTTGAACAGCATACAGACTGCCGTGAAAGCCGTCAGCTCGGCCGTGAGGAAGGCCGGTATCGCTAATATGTGAGTAAAACGCGCGTGCCAAGCTTTCCGGGAGAAACCACAAGTGCGACCACGAGTGCGAGAGAGACGCGAATATAAAACGTAAACGGAATGCGCGCGACTCGCGTTGCTCTTCGCAATAGGCGAAAATGCCGAGCAGCGCGGAGAGGAAAACGTTACGAGAAGTGTTACGTGACAAATTAGATGTCCCCATTTGTGTAGGATATTTTAAACGGCAGAGAGAGACATTTCCGCGATGTATTCCAATTAATGTAATTATAATTTGTAATCTTCATGCGTTTGAAACTACCTCGCTGTTTTGCGAGGCTATACGGTTTACATTACGTAAATATTTCCCGAGTCGAGGCGGTTTAAGTTGCTGGATAACTTTACGACCGACAAACAGAAGGTTTTCATGCATTATAGCCGGCGTGCGGATGTAGTTTATGCGATTTTACGTTTCCACACGGGACGGACGGTCAGAATTTAGCGCGCGACAGATTCGACTAATATGTATATAGTGTAGATGTAAAGTCTCGGTAGTGTCGTAACCGCGGCTAACGTTCGTTCCCGAACCGGCGCGCGTCTCTCTATTTTATTCAAATGTATTCGGCAGCAGTACAGTCTCGTGCTCAAGCTGCCAATACACGCCAGTAAACATTAATCTCTACGCCCTGACAATTCTGTAACCTCGCATGTAAATAACATATAAATGATTTCCCATTATTACAGTGCCCGCGGTTGTTCACCGCATAAACATGAATAAAACAATTTCATGACTGGTTGCACTCCATCGACTTCCGAAACACACTTTTCTTATCGATAATCTGATATAAATTATATCTTGAATTAAGAGATTAGTTAGCCGTAAAAAAATTTCTCGATAATTGATATCTTCGATTTCTTTTATTTTTTTTTTTTTATGATATAACTGACAATTTACATCTCTTGATAATTTTACGATTATTAAATAAATGTCTATGGAATCAATTATCTACATCATATATTACACTACATCATACATTTTAACAATTTTATAATTCATTTTCCAAGTAAACGTTTTATAAAATGTTTTTTGATATATCCTGTACTACAAAAGTCAACTTTCTTTTGAAAACAACGCAATATTGGATTTGTCTTAGCATTGTTAATAATCCTTTTATTTAATTCTTCTTTTTTAATAATTTTCAAATAATTTAATTATATTTTATTATAAAAATTTGAAACGTTTTTAATATTATCCCAAGCTAGAAATTCTAAGAAATCTTCAAAGAATTTTTTCTTTAAACAGATTTGAATACATAATGTTTACTTCTATCCACGTAGATTAACCGTAATCTCGGTTTAACTTACTTTCTATCATTCTAAGAATTGCAAAAGGATAAAAAATAAAAGCGAGAGATTAAAATTAATCTACATTAATAGAAATAGACATAAAAATCATTCAAAATTCTTAAAAGTTATTGCTTCTGTCTGTTTATAAAATGAAATTAAAATAATAATATAAAACATGAGTAACATATGTATTTGTAAGATAATCAAGAGTTTCAAAATATTTTCTTTCCAATAACATCGAAAGCGACCGTCATACATCTTCGTCATGTATCCAAAGCGTTTGAAACATGTCATGACTAATCGAATCGATCACGCAATAATCGCTTGAATAATTACTAGTCTCATCCGCTAAACGCGCGGTCGTTGCATCCCGTCGTTCATCCAGGTACGGCATCGCCGGCAATACCAACGTTCAGGGCGAGGAAGTTAAGAAGCTGGACGTCCTGAGCAACGAGCCCTTCATCAACATGCTGACGTCCTCCTTCACCACGTGCGTGCTCGTGAGCGAGGAGAATCAGAACGCCATCGAGGTGGAAACGGAGAAGAGCGGCAAGTACGTCGTGTGCTTCGACCCGCTCGACGGTTCGTCCAACATCGACTGCCTGGTCTCCGTCGGCTCGATCTTCGGAATTTACAAAAAACCCGAACGATCCGGGGAATCCACGCTGCAGGCCGCGCTGCAACCGGGACAGAACTTGGTCGCGGCCGGATACGCGCTGTATGGCTCGGCGACTATGATAGTGCTCTCGATCGGGCATGGCGCTAATGGATTCACGTACGATCCGGCCATCGGGGAATTTATACTGACCGAGAGGAACATGCGTATGCCCGACAGAGGAAATATCTATAGGTATGACAAAAAGAGGAGAGAGAGTGGGAGAGGGGGGGAGGGAAAGGAAAGGGGAGGCTGCGAGATGAGATATTCTTAATCTCGTATCGCATGACATCTCTAAATTCGAGATTATTTTTCTTCTAATTTATTTTTTTTTCTTTTTAATAAAAGCCTCGAATTTAGAGATACTACGCGAGATGCAAGATTAAGGATGTACAGTCGGTGTATTAATTTCGACGCGAGCCACGCGATTAATATTCGTGAGTAATGCGTCAAAGATATGCCGCATGCTCTCGAGAGTACCGGATACAATTAGTGTAATCTCGCGAACCTGATGAGATAGTCGATAAGATCGGGTTACCTATTTAGAGGCGGAATTGCATCTTTCTGCGATAACTCGCTTACGTTGTTGACTGCGATTGAAATCGCGTATTGCTTACAGTATTAATGAGGGCAACGAGAGCACGTGGGACTCGTCTATCAAGGAGTATATACATTCCAAGAAATATCCCGCAACCGGGAAAGCCTACAGTGCCAGATACGTAGGCTCCATGGTCGCCGACGTACACCGAACGATTAAGTACGGCGGTATCTTTTTGTATCCCGCGAGCAAGAGCAATCCCAACGGCAAGGTAATTTCACGACTTATGAGTTTTATATCGAATTAGAACTTTCATGAAAACTTTACTCGAAAAAAGAATAGAGACAGATGCGAGAGCAACATAGTACAATATCCTCTCATCCTCGATGAGGATCCTCCTTTTTTCCTTCAATTGTTTATCTTTGCTCCGATTATTGCTAAACGATCCTGATTTTTCATGTTTATCGGATGCCTTTATCACCGCGGACGAATGGAGTAATGAAGTAACTTGCTGTAACAACTTTGCCTTGTAAACAGACGTTTACGCTACCATCTATCCGATAAACATGCAGAAAAATATCGGACTTTGGAAATTATTTTATCTAGACGCGGTATAAATATCCGGTTTGAACTTGAATGGATGGCGGCATCCCTGATTTTTGTGTAAATACGCGAAACATTATCGAACTTTGCACATTATTCATTTCGGTAAACACGCGATTCGGGGGCTCTCTATCAGAGGCCCCGATATCGAGGTCGAGAATTTCAAGAGAACATATTTACCGATAATTAACTGAGACTTCAAAATTTATCGCGCGTCGTACATATGCATACACAAAATATAAATGTATTTT